CTTTTTTATCCCCACCTCTCTTCAGCCCCTTGGGGCCTCCTTAGGGGAGGCCCCCGGGCGCCCTGGCCCCCGGGGGCGGCCCTGAGGTTGCCCGCTCCTCCTTCTCCTTGGGCACGTCCTTCTTCTTGAAGCGCCGCCGGCGCCGCAGGAAGCTGCCGTTCTCGAACATGTTGTAGGAGTCGGGGTCCAGGGTCCAGTAGCTGCCCTTGCCGGGCTTCTTGTCGTCGCGGGGCACCTTGACGAAGCACTCGTTGAGCGAGAGGTTGTGGCGGATGCTGTTCTGCCAGCCCTGCTTGTTCTCCCGGTAGAAGGGGAAGCGGTCCATGATGAACTGGTAGATGCCGTTGAGGGTGATCTTCTTTTCGGGCGCGTTCTGGATCGCCATGGTTATGAGCGCGATGTAGCTGTAGGGCGGCTTCACCAGGTCCTTGGGCGCCGCGGGCTGGTGGTGGTGGTAGGGCGCGTAGGAGCGGCCCATGCCCGCGCCGTACTGCTCCGGATGCCCGAGTAGACGCCCATGGGGCTGGCCATGCCGCCGTAGCTACCCGCCGCTCGGTAGTAATTCTGCTCGCTCAAGTAGGGCACCACTCCCAGGGCGTTGGGGTCGGACACGGAGTAGCGCGCCTGCATGCTGCGTCCGAGACGGCTCGCCACCGCCTGTTCGCACGGACCGTGAGGAAGGCCCTGCGAGAGCGAGAGAGCGAGAGTGAGCGAGCGAGAGTGGAAGGGAGCTGGGAAGTCTCGGGGACGAGGTGGAGGAGGCGCCGACGCTCGGCTCCCGCCTTCGGACGGAGAAGGGACGCTCGCTTCAGCTGACTGGAGGGATCAGCATCCTGGAGGGCGCGCCCCGGGCGAGCGCAGCGCCGGCCCCTGCTCGCTCGCTCGCTCGCTCTCGGGACCCGGCGGGTGGCAGCCCGGGCGGGCGGCTGGGGACGCGGCGGAGACTCCGCGCGCGCAGTGGACCGAGGCTGGCCCCCTGGTCTGTGCCGGGAGGGGTACGGCGGCTCTCCAAGCCTCCCCGCAAATCGGTAGCCCTGGGGGTCAGCGAGCGGGGTCAGACTGGCTGCCCTGCCGAGCCCGGAAAAAGAAGTCAAGTCCCTTTTAGGGATTGGGAAAAGTTTCAAAAGCCTTCTTGCTGAAAGCGAGTTTTTACTTTCCTCCGGCCACGCCCCCTCCGGGAACTTTGCACCAATAACTCCGCAGCTGTGGGGAGTTGGCACCCAATCAGGGCGAGGAGAACCCGTCGGCTCTAAGACCCAGCTGCGCTGAGCCAGACTTGAATGCTGCTCAGTCTCAACTTGAAAAAGATTTTTTTTTTCAAGAAAAGAGTTCTATCTTATTAAGTTTTATTTTATTATCAAATTTTGGTTAGTGGGCCCACGTGCCCAGAGGGAAAAAAGACGCTTCTTTGCAAAAAAAACCAGTTAGTTTGAAAAATAAAAGAGAATTGATTAATGTAGTCAAATATCTCTCTCCGAAGACCTTCTAAGTAGCAAAGACCCGGGGACTATTTTTCTTATTAATGAGTGATGAGGCGAATAATTAGATTTCCTAATTGTCGAGGCCCAGGTGTAATGGATTCAAAGCAAACGTGCTGGCTTGGCCTGGAAGGGGCCTCGCCTGGGTGTTATTATTTAAGCCAATAATTAATAATCAACAGGGAGTTTCCAGGTTCAGGGCCGTCAGAATAACCTATGAAGGTTTGGGGGGCAAATTACAGAAATGGAGTGCCCCCTGCCCCCACCCCAGGAGGTGGGCCGCAGTGTCTATAGGGGAAAGGAGGAGTAGGGGGGATAGCAATGTCTTGGCCCTTTAATCCTGTAAATTCGCCGTGGACTCCGTAACTCACCCGCGTCACTGTGAGCAGTTTTGTGGAATTTGGGGACTAGGGTGAAATAGCTCCGCTCAGCTCCCCCTTCCCCTCCCGCGTAGACGCCTGCAGCCCACAACTCCAGCATCGCTGCGGCCCCCTTTTCCCGAAGAGATATTCCCTTTTGCAACGCGTCCCGAACGCCGGGAACAAAGCGGCGAGTCCCCGGCGGGCAGAGCCCGGCCCGGCTGCCCGAGCAGGGAACCCAGCGGCTTTCCGCGGGGACTTCGCCCAGGACGCGCGTCCCCAGCGCGGGCTCCCCACCTGCCTGCGCCTGGAGCCGACCCCGGCCGCAGTTCCTCTTCGCGCCACCGGCAAAGCCCCTTTGGGGTTCTCCAAACTGGTTTTTTATATTTCGGTGGTGCTTGGTGGGTTGGTGTGGGATAGGTGCTTTGGGCACGGGGCTCCGTGGGGGGACGCGGGGAGCGATGGCAAACGGTTTAAGTCGCCCCCAGAGAAGCTGTTATGCGGGGCCAGGACTTGGAGCGGAGGGGTCCTCGCCCTTCCAAGTTTTCTTCTTCTCTCTAGGAATCCTGGAAGGTTTGTTTATTTGTGGACTGAGTATTTATCCCTTCAACACCTCGAGTCGTCGGACCCCCCTGAACCCGCTTCCCCTGAAGGGGCGGGACCCCCACCAGAAGGGCGAAATGCTGGTCAGAATTCTTCTGGAAGTTGTCCATCCGGTTGGGTGGGGAAGAAGACCAGATAAAACGTTTGTTTCGGGTTTCCTTTTCCCTCCTAACTCTCATTAGGTTCCCAGGAAAGGGGTGAGAACCGACCGTCACACTTAGCTTTTGGGAGGTGAATAGAAGGCATGGGGGACATCTCATTCATTTTCAATAAAAGGACAAAAGAAAATGCATGTGTGTGCATGATCGGCAAATGATATTATCTCGTGAAAAATTCAGAATCAAAGAGAAAATACAAAACAGGTTCCTATTACCTCGAATAGTCTACTTCTGAAACGCTTTTTTTTATGGCTGCTCTGAGTTCTTTTTCTAATTTGATTTTTTTTTTCAACGAAGTAAAATAAAGCTTCCCAGACCTTAGCTCACAGGTGAGTGGTTTGAGAGTTCTCTCACCCCACCCCCTCGATTCCCACTACAACTTTATTATTTTTTAATACCTCTAGTATGTCCACATCCATCTTTTTTTAAAAAAAATACTCTGGCGAAAAGTGCCTTTCTCAGGGAGCGCGTGACAGGCTGCTCACAATTTTACTGGAAATGCTAACTATTGATCAAGAAACACTCCTCGGTCTGTAGGCTTCCTGGAGAAATATTATTTACTCTGCTTTTACGAGGTGCCTTTTTAAAAGCTTTATCACAGAATAGGCAAAAACCCAAAATAGCTAAGGACCATGGAAAATAAATTCAAAAATATCAGTTTCTGCAGAAGTTTGCACTTACAAGCGTGTCCAGGTTTAAACCAATGTCATCTGAAAAGAACTAAGTTGAGTTGCCAAAATTAGTACTCGCCCCCCCCCCAAAAAAAGAAAAAAAAGGTGGGAGTTGGAGGAAAGAAATCCTTATAATCAAGACAGAAAAGGTGAGGGAGACATTTTCCTTTGCCCCTGGAATTAGGTTTCTTCTCTGCTCAGTAGGACTCCGGGAGAAATGTTTGTTCAGGTTATTAAAACAACACCTTCCACACACCTGGACTTTGCAAAAACCATATTTCCGATCCTTTCTTTAACCGGCTCGGGTATTTTGGATTGGGGGCTGCTCATTTCTTGCTGATTTCTTCCTTTCTTGACCTCGTTGTCAATGAGCTGAAAGCAGAATCCGGTCCCAGAGGGCCCTGTGTCCTTCTAGAATAATAAGCGATGATAAAAGCAAAAGATATTCAAGTCACCCCGACACCCACCACCACCACCACCACCGTCACTACCACCCCATTGCATTCTCTCCTGAGAGCCACCAGCTCCTGCACCTGGGTCGGCTCCGGTGACCTGGAGTGTTGGCACCCCCTTGAGGCCAACGGGAAAACTACTCTTAAAAGAAAAAAAAATCAGATCCTCTGGTTACAATGAAGGTGCTGACACCTTATGGAAGCAACTTAGCATTGCATGGCAGGAGTAAAGCCTTCAAAATCACAAGTAAATAAACTGTGTGCGGTGCATAGTTAAAAACACACACACACAAATAACACAAAACATTTGCCATAGCTTTGCAATGTGTCAAGAACACCATCTGTTGGAAAACAGAAATGTCTTTGAAACTGCTAGGAGAGCATGAAATCCTCTCTAGGGAGATTCTCTCGTGTTTTAAGCAAATAAAATCCATGCCTCTTAGGTGGCTAAGTCTCTTCCTTCCTTTCTTTCTTTCTTTCTTTCTTTCTTTCTTTCTTTCTTTCTTTCTCTCTCTCTCTCTCTCTCTCTCTCTCTCTTTCTTTCTTTCTTTCTTTCTTTCTTCTTTCTTTCTTTTTCTTTTTCCTTCTTTCTCTTTTCCTTTATAAGTTCCAGGGTTGCTGAACAAATTGCTCCTCCGTGTCTTCCCAGGGCAGCTGTCTTTCTGCCCTGCATGAGTTTCAGGGAATTTATCAGGAAAATGTGTGTACTTGATGTGTATGTGGCATTGGATTTAACTTGAGGGAGATTTTTAAACGTGTCTGTGGCAGCATCTACGTTTGTTTTTGTTTTTGTTTTATTTAAAAAATTAATAAAGGATAGGTTTGAGAGTACCTGGGGAAATTTGAAAATGGAGTGCATATTAGATAATTATTTTGTATCAAGGTTAAAATTCTTGCGTGTGATAATTATGTGGTCAAGTAAGAACATGTTCTTGTTTTAAAAAGTACATGTCAAAATATTTAGCACTGATAATCATCATCTCTGCCACTTTTAAAAGATTCAGCCAAAGGTGGGGGGTAGGGGGACTGAGAGAGGAGGAGAGAGGAGTATCTGAAATATAGTAAAATGAGAACAGTTGCTGAATTGTGGGTATTCATTGGGTACTCTTCTTGCAATTTTTCTGTAAGTTTAAAATTTTTCAAAATTAAAAAATGGGGGGGAAATACCTTTGCTACTCTGAAAATTTAAAAAGGGATGTGACACAAAGCAGACATCTTTCTACGGAAGGAGTTGCAAACCCTGATGTGGGGACCCAACTTGACCTCCGTGTCCCCTCTCCCTGTGCTCTGGAAGTTTCTGAAAAACAGCCATGGAATTTATCACATTAAGTTGTAGTTGTTAAAGAAAAAAAGAAGCTGATTTTCTTAAAAGCTTATCTATCTTATAATTCAAGCATCGCCACAATTGATACAGTCAAAGATTCAAGAAATCCAAGACTGCTGTAGATGTTTTCAAAAGAGAATATTAAAGATATGCATGTTTCTTCTTAAAGAGAGTTCATAACATGCTTCTCTGTGCTGCCCATTTCATACAAGTCCTATAGAGTTGCCTTTATCCATATTGCTATGTAATTGATTTGCTTACATGGTGTATCAGTCAGTTAAGGCTGGTGTATGCATAGTAACAAACACCCCCAGTCTCAGTGACTTCACCTTTTTATTATATTTTATTTTTATTGTTGACATTATTACAGATGTCCCCCATTTCTCCCCTCTTTGCCCACCTCCACCCAGATCCCGCCTTCCCCTCCCTCTGGTCCTCACCATGCTTTTGTCTGTCCATGGGCTATGTACACATGTTCCTTGGTTAATCTCTTCACCTTCTTTCATCCAGTACCCCCCACCTAACTCCCTTCTGACATATGTCAAGCTGTACCATGTATCCATGTCTCTGGTCCTATTTTGTTCATGAGTTTATTTTGTTCATCAGATTCCACATATCAGTGAGATCATAAGGTATTTGTCTTTCTCTGACTGGCTTATTTCACTTAGCATAATAATCTCCAGGTCCATGCTGTTGCAAAAGGTAAGAATTCCTTCTTTTTTACAGCCTCGTAGTTAGTATTCCATTGTGTGAATGTACCACAGCTTTTTTATCCACTCATCTACTGGTGGTCACTTGGGCTGTTTCCAGATCTTGGCTATTATAAACAACTAGAGGGTGGAG